AGCCCCGGGTTCCCCCCCCTCTCCCCCCAGGGTGCAGCGCCCCGGAGCCGGGAGGTTGTGTTCTGTGTGTCTGTCCGTGTCGGGCTGTGTGCGCAGAGAGCTCTCGGACGTGCGCACGTGTATATATAGGGTGTGTATAGGCGGCCGTGTGTGCGAAGTGCTCAGGGCAGGAGCTCGGCCTTTCCCTGGGAACCGCTCGTGCTGATTTTGTGGCTGATTTCGTCGGCTTTGCGCCTCACCGTGCGTCTGCTGCGGGGTTGTGCTTGCAGGCGAGCAAAGCATCCCAGTGATATCCTCCCCCAACCCCCCTCCGAGCGCCTTTCTCCCCGTGCAGGTGGAAGCTGCCTCCCCCTCTTTCCCAGCCAAACTTTCAGTACTGGGGCCTCCCGCTGGCGGTGTGAGGGTCGGGCACCCCAAAAACAGTCCCACTCGGGGTCCTCTCGTGACCTTGCGTGGAGGAAGGGAAGAGCGATGCTCCATGCGTGGATCCCGAGGCTCTGCGCCCGTTTGTAGGTCAGCACGGGCTGTACCGTGGGCCCCGCCGCAGCCGAGTACCGTGTGAGCAATCGAAGCGGCTCCGCGTGGGTATTCGGCCCGAGGATGGAGCAGGGAGAAACCCACGGTCCTGTATTGGGGACCATTGACCCATCGTGGCTGAGCGGGGACGTGCTGGATTTTAATTGCAACCTTCGGATGAGTGTTACCGGCTCCCGTGGTCGTGACAGCCGTGTCCCCCATGCTGTCCCCATCAGTGCTGCCCGCTGAGCACCGCGCTTCGGTTCTGCCTGCAGCGAGGTGCCCACAGCTCGCTGGGCGTCAAAGTCACAGCCCGGGTGACCCGACCTTGGCACTACGTGCTGTGCCCATACCCAGAGCCTGGAGGGCGGCGCGGTTGGGGTCCTTCCCGGTGGGATCCTTATGGTGGGAGCCTCTTGGTGCCCACGGCTGCCTTAAGGCCTCGCCGTGCCCCTTCCCACCACAGGGCTGCCCAGCTCAGATCCGTGGGGCCGAGCACCCTGAGCCCCCCAGCTCTGGGGTTGCCCATACCGGGGGTGGTCACCGCTCCGGGACCCCCAACCCCCTCCCCCAGCCCGGCTCTGTGCTTGTCCGTCTGCATCGGGCTCATGCATGCATGCAAGAATAAGACGTTGCTTCTTTCTCTTCTTCTGCCTGCGCATTCCTCAAAAAGCTAATATTCATGAAAGGTAATTCAATCAAACCGCGATGCCTATCAGCTAATGCAGCAAAGCTGGCGCAGGGGTGAGAATGGGAGCCAGGAACACAAAAGCCCTGTTTTATTACCTCCTGCTTGCCTGAGAATTGCTTTTCTCCCTCGAGTGAGCCGGCTAAAGCTGGCTTTATTATGTTAACCTATTTGCGTGTCAAGAGCTATTGTGCCTCTCTTTATCTGTGTTTGTATTTGCTCGATGCAGGGAATAAAAGGACGAGGCGAAAATGGATGGCTGGTCAGTGCTTTGCACTCTGGGGGCACTGATTGGTTGCTAAGTGATTTGCATCCCCGGTAATCGCTTTTATCTCGGAAGGATGTCGTGTATAATTATAAGCCTACTGACATCTTTTGAAATCTGCCTAATGGGTGTTTTTAATTTACATGGGAAGCAGGGGCTATTTGTGTTGCTCTGATTACAGGTTGTGCGAGCGTGAGGTTGGAAATACAGATATTTCCCCAGATGTGGGGGAGCGTGGGGCTGGGGTTGGGGCCGGTCCTGGTGCAGGGATGGACGGCAGCGCATCGATCCCTGCGATGTGTCCTTGGGGCTCCATCCATTCAATCAAGCTGGCTGTGGCCGTGGAATGAGCCCAGAGGTGAGCCCGTGGGCCTGGTACAGGCCGTGCTCCTGGCATCCATTCACCCCAAAACCATTGGGGTTGGTGAACCCCCGTGCTCCTCTCCTGGTTTGCAGTTCCAGGGAGCCCCGTTGGCTTCAGTGCTGGGATGGGGTGTAAATGTTTAACTGGTGTCTGTCTGCAGCCAAGTGCTGCCGGATGGTGCCACGTCCCTGCGAGAGCTGCACCCGGTGCGTTCACACGCCGCTGTGGGGCTGCTGGGTTGGACGTTAGGAACAATTCCTTCTCCCAAAGAGAAGTCAGGCATTGGCACAGCTGCCTGGGGACGTGGTGGGGTCACTGTCCTGAGAGGTGCTCAAGGAACGTGGGGATGTGGCACTGCCAGACGCAGTCAGCGGGCAATGGTGGGGGTCAGGTTTAGGGATCTTCAAGGTCTTCTCTGGGTTGGGGACACACGGCAGATTGGGGACGCAGAGGGTTGGGGACACAGAGCCTTCCCACGCCCAGACACGCCGGGTGGGAGGCGACTGGTGACTGCGCTCCCAGCAGCCCGCCGTGGCGTGACGACAGCTCGGTAATTAATTTCTCCCGTTGGATGAGGTCAGGGCAGTGCCTGGTGAGACGCCGGGCGCATCGCAGGGCTCGCTCGTCCTTTGTCCCCATCCTGGCTGGGACACGGGGTGGCTGGGGACAGCTTGGTGAGCGGGAGGGCAGCTGGGGACGGCGGGTGCCGTATGGGGGCATGGGGTAGGGTGCTGGTGGGCACCCCGGGGTGCTGCGCCCCGCTACCGCCTGCAGCCCCGAGCTCAGCACCGGCGCTGCTATTTATGGCTGCCTGTAAACAAACTCCCAATGAAAGAAAGTTAATGACCTGAGACTGACAAGAGCCTGCTGGGAATTTTTATAGCCCCTGGGACTCCTTTTGCTCGAGAGAGAACAGAGCAGCGTTTTCACCCCAAACAGCAAGCGCGCCTCATCCCGTGTGCTGCACCCCATGGGCACCCAGGGCAGCGCTGGGGTGAGGAGGGGCAGGTTGCTTTGGTGGAGCTGGGTGCCCTGCCCCCATGTGTAAAGCTGGGGCACACGGCTCCTCGTCCCTGAGAGGAGATGCTCCAGAGCTGCACCATCTGCCTTCTGCGGGTCATTCGTCGTGCTGCAGGCTGGAGAGAGGGCTGGCTTACCATCGGCAGTAACCAAACAGGAATAAAGCCTTAATACCCTGCAGCGGAGAGATTTAGCTGCTGGAGATAAATATTCATAGTGCTCATGGAAGGAGGAGAGAACCCAAATTTGGCTTTTCAAAGAGAAATTAACAGCATTTGCACGGGCTGCCCCAGAATGGGGCACGGGGCTGGCTCTGTGCTAAGCTCAGCACAGTGGCTGTGTGTTGCATTTGTGCTTTGGTTTCTCTCCCCTGTGTGGATGTGGCCATATGGGGGCAGGGATGCAGGGGACATCCCAGCGGACAGGCACAAGCTGGAGATGAGCCCCCTCTGCTCCTGGTGCTGCTTCTGCTGCCATTCTTGCAGGGTTGTGGCTGCGATCACACCAGTGTTCAGCTTAAAAAATGCCATCCTGTAAGCAGCTTGAGTTTCCCTTTGGGAAGAAAAAGGCAAAAAGCAGCAGTGAGCAGGAGCAGACGAAGCCCCCCTGGCCATGTGCTCTGACTCTCCCAGCAAGGACTGGGGGGAAGCAGTAGTTTTTCAGTAGCCCTAATGCTTGGGGATATGAGAGATTAAGGTTAGTGACCATTTTTTAACTCAATAAAGGGAAAGACAAGCTGGAGTCTGCAGTCCAGAGATATAATTAGTTCGCAGCAGTGGTGCTTTCTTGATTTAGCTTCAGAGAGCAGAACAAGACAAGGATGTTATACCCAATTAGCAATAACATACAGTCTGAGCCGCGCTAGGTGAGATAACAAGCCATTTTTATAGCTCTTCTTTACGGACTTTTTTGGGGGAAGGAAAGGAGGAGGGGCTCACGCCTTGATTTCTTGTCATTTGGGAACGATTGAGGGATGTGGGAATTCCCTGAGCCTGGCAAAGTGTTGGCCGGTGCAGGTGGTACAGCCCAGAGCTGTGGCTGTGCCTGTGGGCTGCATGTGGGGATATGGGGCTGGGGTGGACCCGACCTGATGGATGGTGACACCAGGGCCACGTCTCACCGTGCCTGTTAATGACACACTGAGAGCAGCCCTACTTTGTCATGGCAGCCCTGGGTTTTACGAGGCAATGGCTGATAAAGCAAGGGCCGTGCTCACACAGTGAATATTTCCTATCCGCTCGTAGTGGGGTTTATGAGGTGTGAGCCCACAGAGCTTCAGGGCTCAGGGCAGGGGACATCACTGTCGCCTGCGCCGCACTGGAGGGCAGCTGGATGCCCGTGCCACGCGGTGCTGTGCTCACATGGTTGGTGGATGTCCATGATTCAGTGCAAACCTAGATGGGTCGGGGCTGGGAGGGTCCTGCACGTCATGGCCGTGCACTGAGCATCGCAAAGGGCGTCCAGCAAACCACCCAGCCCAGCAAAGAGCCGGCGATGAAAACTTGGATTAGGTTTAATTAGTCAGCTTTTAATAACAGGCTCCGGGTTGGAGGTTCTTGGCATGCTGCTTTCCCATCTCTACCAGCGGGCAGCACCCAGGTCAGGATGTGGGGCAGCCCCACAGCACACGTCCCATAGGGACGGGGACAGCCCGACGCAGCGCCGCTAACGGCACCGCAATGATCATCAGCGCTCGTCGTAATCATTAAGACTATTAGAAAGAAACGTTCGCTTGAAGCTAATGTCAGACTTTCTGTTCTGCTTTGCAAACGCGCACAATTAATGCCAATCAGCTGCGGGAGGAAGCCAACTCGCAATCATGTCTGCTTCATCTCGGCTGTCAGCTGTTGCCATTCCGTGTTGTACATTTTCATACAATTGCTATAAACATAAAAGGGAAACTCCGCGTTCTTCGCAGGGCTCGCGTATTGTTCTGTGTTCGTTTTAATTACTTTGCATTCAGCGGCTCATCTGGCCTCGCCGAA